CTTTTATTGGCTGTGTTGTGGGCTGCAGCATCATCACCGTCCTCCTCTCCTACGGCTACATCATAACCACCATCCTTAGGATGAACTCGGCACAGGGGAGGCGCAAGGCCTTCTCTACGTGTGCCTCCCACTTGACGGCGGTGGCCGTGTTCCACGGCACCCTCCTGTTCATGTACTTCCGACCCAGCTCCAGTTACTCCATGGACACGGACAAAGTGGCCTCTGTTTTCTACACGGTTGTCATCCCCATGCTAAACCCGCTGATCTACAGCCTAAGGAACAAGGATGTGAAAGGTGCCCTGAAAAAAGCAATCAGCTCTAAATTATGTTCTGGGTGATAACAATGTTTTCACCCAAAAGTGCTTAAAGATCCGGAGATGTGAAGTTCAAGTGCTTTGATACAGATGCTTGCTGTCTCACCAGTACAACCTTCTGGATGTGCCCCATTACTTACCCTTGTGTGTAAAGCGAGTGGTGAAAGCAGTTGTTACTGATCTTACTGCTCTCTCCAAGCTAATGAAGCGTAGTAACATGTTCACTGTGCTGTTTAGCGGAGTGTCTTTCTGTTTCTCTTTTCCCTGTTCCTGGGTTAGTCCTGTGAGATGTCCTGGGCACAGCGACCCCTCCACCTGCCACTGCAACTTAACTCTCCTTAAATCTCCAGGTTCAATAAACTTGTTCAGCCAGAAGGGAGGTCAGTGGGTTAAATTAGGTTTGTTTGTATCCTTTTTATGTACCTATACCACCCTATAAATGTTCCATCATAACACTAAGAAGTACGTGATTTGTAAATAAATAAATAAGGCAAATAAGAAATCCCCCACAGGACTAAATACTCCATAGCAGCACAGCCCTTTCTGTCTTGTTTACCATTATTCTTCTTTGTGATTTACAAGGCTTAACCTTAGAATGCAATTCAAAAATATTTATTGAATTAATGAGTGTAGCCTGAAAAAGTCATGCAAAATGGAGCCTTTGTAAACCCACCAAAAAGAAAAAAAAAACTCCAAAACAAACAAACGAAAACCCCTCCATTCTTTAATTTCATTCTAGCATGTTGTCTTTAAGTGAAATTCATCTGCGTGCTTTCTTTTGCCCTCGGCAGAAGTGGGTATCTGGAGCAAGGATTATCTGATGTAGACCTCTTCTCAGAGCAGTCCTCTTCATTCTGCCTCAGCTATATCAGCAACCGCCCCGTGATCGGCAGCTCCAGGTTTACATCCCACCTCACAGTGCACGTCAGCCCGTGGACTCCCCTTCTGGTCCTCACTATGGAGATGTGATTGACAGCTGTACAGAAACTGCATGAACGGCAGCTGGGTGTTAGGGACCTGGACCTTCTGCAAAGGTCACTGGAGAGGACTCAACTCCGCGATGGGTTCATGGCATTATATTCATTACAATTTAAAAATAAATAAACTGAAATGCCCCCATTGACATAGTTTAAATTGTAAAGATGGACTTATTAACAAAAATATATCTCCTTTGGGAAAAAAAGAAAGAAGAAAGTAGCACTTATATTAGTGTGTCATATGTAATGCTTTATATTGGGTCTATATGTATCTGTGACCTAAATTAGAATTGTATTCTAAATAAAATTTTAATAATAGTCATTGCTGTTGTGCTGAATAGTTGAATTAGTTAATCTTGTAATCGTTTCCAAAAGCTTAATGAATTGCATATGTTGCTTTCCCGTGTTTTCAATTAGTTATGAATCCCCAGTTGTGAAAAACATAACACAATTTCAGTTTCTCAAAAGGATTTATTTTCTCTTAGGTTGTTGCCATGGAGGGAAGGGGGAGGTACCCTTCTCGGTTCCAGGAGGAGAGAGTAATGGCTTATTCAGGGTTTATCATTTAGATCCTCTTCCTTAATTTTCAATAGTCCCTTCATTGTATAAAATGTGCTGTAGTCAAAACATCATAGGAAGGAAACAACATACTAAATATATGCAATTTTCAGCAGGTTATCTGTGTTGCATGATGGATTAAACTGAATTTTACATAAAAATATTCCATTACTTCTTAAATATATCTCTTCAGTTTTCTTTTATAATCTTCATTTTTGTTTTGG